AGAAATCCCCCCCCAGGGGGGAATGGTCACGCCGCAGTCCCTTCTCCTCCATTCTCTCGGGATCTTGGGCACGCACGCACACGCGCCCGGCGTGAGTTTTAAGCCACCGGGTCTGGTACGCGAACCACGGTCGACTATGTGAGAGTCTAGCGACATAGCCATTACGCTAACTGCTGGTTCCCGAGATTTTATTTTTAAGAAATAATTTTATTTGGGGCTGATAGATGGTGCAGGGGTTAAGGACACTGGACTTGTGCACATGGCCAACTGCAGTTCGAGTCCTGGACCTGGCAGCTTGCTTTCTCACTTTCTCTCCCTTTCTCTTTCTCTCTCGCTGTCTCTCTTTGTTCAAATTAAAATAAGTAAATAACTTTATTTAGCTTTATTTATTATTACTACTTTCTACTTTCCAGTTCGATCAGAGAGAGAGAGAGAGGGAAAGGGAGAAACTAAGCTGCCAGTTCTGGGACTTGAACTGTAGTTGGCCATTTGGGAATCCAGTGCCTTTAAGCACCACACCACCTGTCAGCCTCAGAATGTTGAAATTCTCAATGAATGTGTATAGAGAGCTGGGAAAAATCAACATTAGGAAAGACTTTGAGTTTGGATTGCCTCTTTTGATGTTTCAAGCTTTGTATGTCAATGAAAATATGTTGTTAGCATTTAATATGTATTTTTTTGCCATATTTGTGCCATGTCACATCTTATGCAGCATTGTTTCTCCAGAAATCGTATGCACATGTTATTCATATTTCAACAGTTGAATCATAGAATATGAAATTTCTCCCAGTACAAAATATAGTTTAATATTAGGTTGTTGGAAAAGTCATGACTAATTTTTGTGTAGAGAACCAGAAAAAATGTCATGACTTTTCCAACAACCCAATATATAGACTTTTTTCCTTGTCATTATTCTCAATGCGCCATAGCTTTTTAATAGCGTTTATGTTTATTAGGTTTTATAAATAATCTAGAGATGACTTAAAGTGTATGGGAGATGTGGGAGGTTATGTAGTTCTATTCCATTTTATACATAGGATTTGAGCATCCACAGGTTTTGGTATCCTGGGGTTACTAGAATCATTTCCCCATGGATAACAAGGAGGAATGACTGTATTAGTTAGTATGGG